AAAAAAACCCCCAAATAAATCACAGTTTTTGCCTCTGCTATCCCTGATCACAGATCCAATCCCATACACCAGTTATTCTTACCTGTTCTATTCTGCAGTCTGGACTATCAAAGTTTTGTTTAACTAGCCCAGACCTTCGCCCCAGATATTTATACCGCCACCAGTATGACCGACGTAGGAATTTCCATGAACACGAGGACGGAGCTAGCACCCAAGCATTAACCAGTCATCAGACGTGCCCTAAGTGGTTCTCACCCATGGACATGATGCAAAGAGAGTAAGCAGAAAGTTCAAATCACACCTTGAAGGACCTTTACCTACATCTATTGCCATTTTCTGCGAGGAATATTATATATTGCTTAAACTTAAAACAATATACTATCTGTGTGTACACACAAATACTTCATGCAAGAGTGATGTATCACAGGAATTAATTATATTTTTCAGTATAGTCTGTCCTGTTAAAATGTACTTGGGTATATTCTCTCCAAAGATTAATAAATGTATGCAGACTTCCTAAAACACCATGTTTGCACTACAAAATTAATCAAAGCAACCCTTTCGAGGTCCTTTTGTTGCAATCTATTCTGCCGCAACCCAAGCGCTGATGGAATAAGCCCCCATGAGAAAAGCTTGCCTTTTTAAGACAGATTGTCTTTTTTTTTTATAAATAAAACCCTACTCTTAGCAACGTGATTGTTATAAAATAGCTCCGACAACAGCCAGATGGCAGTACAAAATGAGCATGGTCTCAGAAACTGAAGATGCACTTTGAGAGGACTACATTCACCCGAGTATTGTACTACTTCAAAACCAAACTCAGCCTTTGTAAATGTCAAAGGCAACTATTCACAAGCAAACACCATATGGTGTATTTGTCCTCTTCAATTCCTCTTACAATCAGTGGGAAAAGAAAAAAAAAGAACATTTCAGACCTGAAATGACTGCGTGCCACATTATACAGTGCTCTCACCGCAAGCTCTCAAAAATGTTATTAGATGGTGCCATGAAGCTGCTTAAATATGGGTTTGTCCTGAGTTAGAAAGAAATGATCATTAGCAGTCCAGCCTCCAATAGCTCTGCTTGTAATATTCACTGACATGTTGTGGTTTTACTCTGGGATCCAGATGTGATTTGCATAGGAAACACATCCCAGGATGTCCCTAAAACTGTATTTAAAAGTAAGCTGAAGTTAATTTTTTCAGGACTCTAATGGTAAAGCTCTGAAGAGCTGGTTAATGCAGCTCTGTGATGGTGTAACAGCTGCTGAATCACAATACGATTAAAAAGAAACTGCAGTGTTTGTGACTGGGGAAGAACAATCACTGGGCCAGCAACCAAACAGTCAGAGGCACCTCGTCTCCCTGATGGACTCCCAGTCCCCAGCTTGTGGCTGGTGGGTGGCTGTAGTGGAAGGACAGACCCTTGCATGGAGGCCACCATGAGCAGCTCCTACAGGTTCAGGGAGGGGGAATGCTGCTCCCTCTGTTCTTCTTCAGATAAAACCACGTGAAAGGCCGGCCACAATGGCTGGGACCCACAAGGGTACTAACACACCTGATCGCTGGCTTAAATGCCAGCCTCTAAACTTGAGGTTCTCCTCAGCTTGGAGACATCTGCAGTCCCTCTGCTTCTGTCAGTGAAGTCTCCTGCGTTGTCATTGCGGTGCCTCTCCACGTCACCAAATGGGACCACGTCGCTCACTCCTGAGCCTCAGAGATCCCAACAAGCAGCCTCCATCCCTCCTGCCTCTGCTCAGCACACCCACACCAGCGCATCTCTAAACCCAGGGCATTCACCCATCCCACTGCCACATGGCCTCTGGCCCAACACACCATCTATATTATTAACGATAGCAATGCTCCCTTTTTTCTCTTTTGCAAATAAGTAACGCAAGCAAATTTATTGAAATACCTGATGGTTAACTTTGCACTGAAATGATTCTTCAAACAACTGCAAGAAGAAACAGTTTGCAGAAGTCACTGTGTTGGTGACAAGGTTTAAATTCCCTCCCCGTGACCCTGACCACTCAGACAGACTGCACCAGCCAAAGCAAAGCTCGGTGAAAAACCACTCAACACCAAATAACCCTGGAATGCAAATATTCATGCAATGCATGTGCTAGTTCAGGTGTTCATGATCATTTGTAGAAGAAACTACAGGAATACACATTTTAAGTCTCATAATAAGCAAAATAATTACATGCTACCAAGCAAGGAAGGCTCAGGCCTTAAATTTTATTGTTGTAGATGAGAAATAAATCTGGCTTGTGATCAGCTGAGCACACTCAGGTTAACAAATTAAACCCACCCCTCTCGTTCTCCCCCTTTTCCAGCACGTGATGCTGAGGTTTTGGACAACGTTAAGTAACAGTTCACGAACTGAGATGGAAAATCCAGAGCAGCGGCAATAAGCTCTGTTTCTTTCTCGTGAAGTTAATATTAGACTTTAACTGTGGGCCCCCAAGCTCCCACTCCTCCTTAGAAGATAATACTCAAAAGCAAAACCGTTACTTTCGTGGCCATAATAAATAGTCCTATATGCTTCTGGTGAAGATATTCAGGCCGAATGTCACAACCCACAGGAAATGGCTTCTGGCTTCAGAGGATGTGGCGACTCATGTCTGCTGGGAAAACACTGGTGTGGTTTGATTGCTGCTGATTTCATGTGTCAGTGTGTCTCCATGTTTAACCCAGTGGCAGCAAGCAGTTGCTGAATCTGTCAGAAGAGAGTTTTAAAAGTCAGGTCTCACCTTGCTGATCTTAGCCTTCAGGTTTAAATTCCAGTGGCTCCCAAACATCCAATTTGCAGTTGATGCCTCCGGCTGCAGCATTTGTGCATCTCCTGTCAGAGCTGGACATTATCTGCTCCTCCCAAGGCAGCATCAGGGAGTGACGGGGTACAACGGTGGGTAACGCCCCCCCCCTCCACTCTGGGCACACACTCACTCGAGCACCAGCAATCCTGTTCCCAGCTTTTGTTGGCCGCTGCTGGGTGCGTGGCGAACAAACATGGATGACAGGCGGTGAGTCGTGGGCTGCCGGGACCAGAATTGGACCTGCTCCACTGCAGGGGTGGCCACTCCTTCGGCCTCTGAATTTCTCCCACCGTGAGTAAAAGTGCTGAGCTTTAGTTGAGGTATATCGATAATCTGCAACACACTGAAAACCAACCCTCTGTTTCTCCCTTGTTTCCCCTTTCTAAACCACCATGGGGGACATCCAAACACTCAAAGCAAAGACCAGAGCCCAATGGCTTTGCCTTCTAGATGGCTTCTCCAATGGCTTTGCCCTCTCCACCCCTGCCCCAGGACTTCCACCTCATCCCATCCACACAGCTGGCAGCCTTCACACCTATGCTGCTAATCAGCCAGAGTAACGACATTTCAATCAGCTTAAGGAGAGATCCCCACAATAAGTTTTTGAGCTTGTCAATGCCTAGCACAAGCTCTCCTACAGCTAAACCTGTACCTGATCCCACCAAGAACAGAAACCAGGGTTAATACAGTAAATGCTGCTGTTAGTTATCATCCGAGTCTCACGTGAGTTTTCTTCACATCTCAGAACATTTAGTAGATTGTTTGTTAAAAGGGTAGAAATAAATCATATAGGAACAATAGTTAAATATGGACCTTGGAGTTTCTAAGTACAGTAGTTTCTCTTTTACAAATGGAAGTAGTGCCACTATGCTGGAGAGCACTGCAACACTATGGCAAGGAAACAGAGATTGGCTTTTATGACACTACTTACAGGTTTTCCATTTAAAAAACTGCCAAGCCTGATTAAATATAAGTATAGTACATTTCTTCCATATACAAACTCTTGTTAGCTGATTAATTATTAAGGTGCTCAGAAGTGTGGATGAAAACAGAAGTTACAATAGATCTGTTGTGTTTGGGTCTATTTACAAACCGTGCCCGGTTGCCTGCTGACACATCTTCCAAAGAAACTGCAAGCAAAGTGGCCAGTTACAAATTCAGTGCCATAGGAACTGTTGTTTTCTTCACAACGCCTTTGTTAGAAGGTAAAATAGTAGTACTTTCATTCCTTTTTTTTTATTACCAATGGTGGGTGCCCTTGCTGAGTCTGGGTAGCAGGTGGTGCCAGGCAGCATCACACCGTGAGACACCCTGTTTCTAGCTCTCCACTCCTGCCCAGCCCTTACCACCAGAATTTGCTGGTCTGCTGGGCAGCTGCCTGAGATAGGACTTGCAGCGCCAGGTTGTTATATTGAAATGCATCGTATGGGGCCTCCTAAGTACCTGGAGAGCACAGATTTACCCCCTACTCAGAAGGGAGAATTTATGTGCAAGAAACTAAACAAGGAGAACGTGCTTAGCAAACATTTTGTCTTCTGATCAGAAAAAATAAAATAAAATCCAAAGTGGCCCATATTTCGTAGGTCAAATTCCTTCCCCATTAACATTCTCAAAGAGTTATTTTCTGTCTGATGGCCAAACTCTACTTCTAGTTCCATTCTCTGCTGACTGATGGCTGACCACGGACACTGCCCGGCATTGCTACTCTCTGTACTCACACAGGTGCTTCAGAGGAGCTCAAAGTTTGGTGTTTTAGGAACCCGTCAAACCAGGAGAGTATCTGACCATAATGAAAATGCTGATTTTGTCCTCATCTTTTTAAGATGCTATAGAAAAAGAAAGGAAAAGAAGTTGATTTGACTTCTGTTTGTAAACTTAGCACGTACTGGCATCTTTCCCTTGTACATTTAAGTTTCAAACAGGTCCCAGAGATTGCAAGGCAAGAGTGTTAAGGCAGTATAAGAAACTCAGTATCTCATTCAAACCTCTTGATTCCCTTAAAGGTATTTCTAAGGCATCAAAAGGGACATGTGGTTTGTGCTCGCCTTTTCTGAAAAAGGCATTCGGTGTAGTGTAAAAAACTGATGCTCAATGACAGACTGAAGCCACTCAGCCCTAGGCAATGGCCACACCATCAGAGAGGAACAGGGAGATACAGCGGGGTTTCCCAGGTGTGGGCTCCTCACCATCGGTCTTTCTGGTACACCTCTGTTTGTACAATCTCACCGGGGTGCTCAGATATGCAGGCCCCATTGATGTCATTGAGCTTGTTGTCTGGAATATCCTCGGGTTTTGTGCAAAGTTTCAGTGCCCTGGAGATGAAGACGTCCAAGTTAAACTCAGGGTCTGTTTCACTGTTCAACTCTGTGGGTTCCTTGTGGAGGTGGTGAGGAGAAGATGGCAGGCTCCGTTCCTGCATCTCCGGAAGAGGACTGGGACACTCGAGACCCACCTGCGTGCTCTTCACCCACTGAGCAATCTCCAGGAAGAGGTTGGATGGTTCTTCTTCCAGCGATAGCTCAGCTGCAGGAGCTATGGTCGCTCTTTTCCAGTGGGATAAATCTAAAATTAGCTTGGGCTCTGAGTAATGATGGGGCTTATTGTCTCTCCACAACAATTTATCCAAGTAGGAAGGTGACCCCACTTTGTAATCACATGATTTCCCACAATCGACATCAAACACTCGGTCCATGGATGAGTGGGAGAGCTCCAAGAACCTCTCTGAGCTGCTTTGTGAGTATTTCCGTGGATCAACTTGTGCTTCTTCAGCGATGGATTCAGACCCTGCCCGGGGGTCCCGCTGAACCTCATCCATGTCGTGGTATTTATCATGTCTCCATTCCAAATCAGAGGAGAGGCTTACGTGATACCTGTGAAAGAAATGATGCTGTTAGATGCGCAGATGATGGCTTTGTTAGAAACAACAGTGCTCAAACAGATACGCATGCTGCTGCTATTTTTACCTTTTTCTTGCTAATATGCTGCTTACCTATAGATCTTTAAGTTCTTATTAATATTAGAGACCTTTTTTTTGTGTGTTAAAAAAAAGTAGGGAGGGCTGAGTAATTTAGGAGGAATCTGAGGTTTGCCCAGGCTGCATGGGCAGGACCAGTAGTGGGAATAAAAGCCCAACAACCAAACCAACTGCTTCTTTCATTTAGCTGATCATCACCTTCTTTCTGCTTGGGATTAAACTACGATTAATAATATTAACAATCAAACTGTCCCTCAGCCCAGAGACAAGGACCTGCAGTATGAGCACTCCTTGTTTGTGGCCATAGAAGTAAAAAAGATGAGCTTAAATCCCCACTGAGATCAGACAGCACCAGTTTACTCTGATGTCATGGACCAAGAGCATCCCTGAAGGGTCACCTTGCCAAGTGGTAACTTCTCAAGCCAGTCAAACTCCCTTGATTGCAATTACCTGACAACACCTGTTCTTAGACACGGTTTTCAAAGTGACATCTAATTTACTGGCTCCTAATGGAGTTGCCTTTAAAAGATGTGTTATCGCAAGTATTGGGACACTCTGTCCCGGCAATGAAAGGTGTCCTACAAAACACAGGCAAAACCATTTCCTGTTTCAAAAACACTCAGTTTGTGTTGCAAAATTTATGGCATAATACCAGATGTCCCCAGATGGGTAGCAGGAGCAACAGTCTAGGTCCAAGCTTCTTGTGTCATGCCAAGAAAGCCAAGAGCTAAAAGGGTGACAAGGTGCCCTCCAGCAATTGATTTGCTGCTTTGGGGACTATAACTGGCAGGGATCCCGGAGCTGTGGGGATACACTGAAGGTAGATACCCTGAGAAAAGCTTCAAGCTCTCCTCTCTACCTAATTTACCTAGTTGTCCCCCCCAGCCTCCCCCTGACACCTGTTCACTCAGGCAAAGAGATTAATAACAGCGAAGGCAAGGGATTTCTTTAGATTATTTTTTCAATGCTGGTGAAATATAGCAGATTAAGAAGGCAAGGAGATTTAATTGCTATGCAGAGAGGAACAATTTGCAGACATCCTCAGCCAGCTCAGCTGGAAGAAGCTCTATAGAAAAGTGAACCTTGTTAATTCTTAGCTGCTTATTTTCTCCTACCTGCTCTGGTATTGGGACTAGCCTAGTAACTGGGGTAATCATCTAGGACATGAGAGACCTCAGCTCAAGCCTTTGATCTGCTCTAAACTTCCTGTACAAGTTTCAACAAACCATTTCAAAGTCAACACAATTAAAGATTTTTTAAAAATACCCTAGATCTGTAGCCTCTGGGGCTTCCGCACCTTGAACAGTGATAAATATAGAGCTCCAAATCAGGCCCAGTCCCCAAAAGGTACAAAATTGCATTATTTTATAACTAGTATTATAGGGACAGAAAACAGAGGGAAGAACTGTAGTGTCATTTAAACAGATGTAACTCAAATGAAGACAATATAGGCTGTTAATAAAACCAAGAGCGGAAAGATACTCAGTAACTGGAACGTGCAAACTCAACATCTACTCCCTACGGAAATCAATGACAAACCTCTTGTTAGCTTCAACAAGGTGCCAGCTTGGGCTAGAATTACAATATGGCACAAAGAAGGAAAAGCAGATATTCTTCACTGGTCTGGAGCACGTGTGGCTGACTCCAATCAAGGGCAGGTCAGAGACTCACCAGTCAGGTTCTGCCTAAAGAATTTAAGCCAGTATCTGGCCCAGCCCTGGGTACCGTACCTGTCCCAGTTAGACATCTGGCTCTGGTTGGCTTCCATCAGTAAAATATCATCAATCTCATCCTCAATCCGGAACGGATGCTGAGACACTGGTTCATCCTCAGGGCAGGAATATGGACTCATGTAAGGATGCTGCAGACCCATCTCAGCCGTTAATCGATCCATAGGGTTAAATGTCAGTATTTTCTCCAGAAAATCAATAGCTGTGAAGCAGAGAGAAACAAGCTCACTAATTCCTAAAAAGCAATACCAGCTTCCTTTCCAGGATGAGCCTCGTGAATCCCCCATAACAAATCCCCTCGAAGTAAGGAAGGAATTAAAGGTTACATCCCGTGTGCATCTAAAACAGGCATTTCTGTCCTTGCTGCATCCATCTTACCCCTACGGGAGCTGTGTGCTTGCACTGGAGCAATCTTGCAGCCTGCAGGTGTCACTTTATCTAGCAAGGCAGGCAAAATGACAGCGAAAGCATCGCACCTCCACAGGACACCATATACATGTTATACCCAGTACTGTGATCCAGGGCCAGAACTCTAAGCTCATACCCCAAAACCACCTTTGGATGGTGTTGGGATTTGATTCCACGCTCTCAGACCCATTCAACAGGGACATTGCATTTCAGACAACTGATTTCACATCTTTATGTGCAACTGAAGTGGGATTAGATTTAAAGTGCAATTTTTCAAATTCTCCGGCGTGACCAACACTATGAAATTATTTTGTCCCGAGTGCCTAAAATTATTTTAGAAAGACTGTGGAGCATGAACTCTTTCTATGATAATGAAGGAGGACATTAAGTGCAACTAAAGTGACTAGAATTAAGTCTGAACATAGAGGGTTTGTTGTGATTTTTTTGATGATTCCTTTTACTACGGTTATGTGAAAAGATCAAATCCTGTCATGAAAGATGTTGCTTATTCAGTTGATTCTTGGTGCATGGAAGGGTCCCTCAGAGTTCAGATAATATGAATAGGAATATGCCTTTCTTCAGTTACATCTTTTGCATTTACCTTCAGAAATATTCCCATTAAACACTTAACTGTGTGAATGGGACCATTTCTTCAGGGCAAAATCACTCAGCAGAAAGGAAAGGCCATACCTATTGCCTCAGTGCTTAAACATTAACCAATATCCGATTGTCTCCCACAGGATTACTTCATTGCTTAGACTAATTAAGTAGGAAGGAATCAATAGCTTCATAAGGTCACTGACTGCGGGCAAGAAGCATGGTGGAACGATATATTAGGAGTTATATATTACGATATATCATGGGTCAGACAGGCAGCAAAATGTCAATGAATCATGTAAGGGGCGCAGGTGACCTTTCTTCCCACAGTAACGACAGAGAATAAATCCATTCCTGTTTGCCAGAGGCTGATGCGGTCCCTGGGTAACCCAGGCCAGTGAGTATCGCATTGCTAAGCCCATATAACGGACGTCTTATACCAAAGAGTTATGTTAGTGAACATAAGCTGGGCTTGGTCTTGACGTCTTCCCAAAAGCAGGTGGCCATGTTCACCAGCCCGATTTAAACCTTGGAAGGAGCTCAGAAGAGCTGATGTGCCCTGGTCCACACTGCTCAAATGTGGCTGCTGCCCTGCAAGGTCTCACGGCCTACAAAGCTGCTCAAGGCAAAAGTTCAGGTCCAAAAGCCTGTGGTTTGCAGCCCCCTTGTGACAACACACTGCTGATTTTTTTTTTAAGCTTTAGCCGAAGGAGGGAAGTGGCTGAAGTGGTGTTCAAGCATTGCAGGCTGCAACAGCCCAACACAAGTGATGTCCAAGCCTCGAAGCACTTGGACAACATTTCTGCCTGTAGCAACCATCTCACGGAGTTCAGGTATTTATGAAGTGAAAGCACGTATTTTCTTGTACTCTACAACTGTGTTCAGGAAAAAAGCACAGCAAGAAATCAACAGGGTGTAAAAATAACCTCTGGGCTAAACCCTTCCTTACAGCTCAAGAAGAGGCACAGGAAGGCAGGGATGGTCCTTGAAAGTGTCTTGGACTAGTCTTGGGAGACTATTTCATCCTTATTTCTGTATGAGTGTGTTGGGTTTGCGTGGCAAGGTTT